ACTTCCAACGACAGGTTGCAACCTAATATGTTTTTCATATACCGCACTATCAGCTCTGCCAAATAGGAAAAGTAGTTTTTCAAAAGAACGCTTGTAATGAAAATTCCTATTTGGATATCTTTGAGCGTAAACCCTTCAGGCCAACAAGCAATTATTATCCTCACAAAATAAAATCACTAGTAACGTATCCGTTCCTTCCGCCGGCAGATACTGTTTCATTTTTCGTGATAAAATAAAAAATACTTACCTATTAACCTTATTGTACATAGGTAAATTAAATAAAAATAAACTGTTATAAATTTAAAGAAAGTCCATAAACTAAAGTCGATTTTGAAAATAGCTACTAAATGTCACTAGAAAATTGCCATGGCGACACCAGCCATCTTGATTACAGTTTTATTGAAAAATCGCTTTTATTCAAAATCTGAGCCAGATAGGTATAGGAAACCCTAATATAGTTTGAAAGAGCATTTAAATCTGCTTCCACTTATATAAAAAATACATAGTGTTGCATTTGACATAACGAAGTTAACAATTTTTTGTTTAAATGATTATTATGTAAAATAATCCTTTAAAGTAGACCAGCAATTTTTGATCCCCCTGTATACATTTAAGAAATCAATCAAATTTTTTAGTAAACTTTATTTCTCTGGCTTCAAAGTGAGCACAAGAATTAATTCTGAAAAGTAATGTATAAGGTGTTCACAAACATTTTTATTATGGCATGCAAATTTAAATATCTTTAAATATCTCAAAAACCAAAGCTTTTAAACATATTAAACCCTTATAATAAATGCCTTATTTTATGTCCAAGAATCCAAAAATGAAATAAAATACCGGGTGTTCTATAAGAAAAAATATAACTTTGGCATGGATCTTAGTTCTGACACACCCTGTACATCTCAAAATAATTTTAAATTATGCACATTGCCTTTCCACATATACCCATAAAATATTTTGCTTCTACATCTTTCCGTTTTTGTATAATCAACCGAGGTGAATGAGATGCTCCACCCAGTATATCCCTAGTGTTATAAAAATAAAAAAAATCACACAAAGGCATAGAATTTCCCAAAGTCTTATAAAGTAGATACTGGTGTGTCCGTTGTTGGCTCATTAGCAATTCTTTTCAATTTACTTTCATTGACCATCATAAAATATTATTTCATGTATTACCTGATCTGTGCGTTTACAACATCAGGACATTGTCTGGAGATTTTGGACCAGTTTTTGTACCTATTTATCTTATAACCTCATATCCGGAAAAAGTGCTAGTACTTGCATTTTTATTATTAACAAATAAACTTCTTTCAAAAGACTCAACACCAACTATTGAAAGAAAAATATACAGAACTTTATACAAATACAGTTATTTTTTCCACTAATGTACCGGTAGAAAATTAAATTAAAATAGTCAGGGATGGGTTAGAACACGATCAAAATTTTAAAAGATAGAACAAAATTATACATAGATAGTATTTTGGAATTGTTTACACTTTGTGTTAAAACTACTTATTTTCAATAACGAATTTTTTGAACAAGATTTCGGTATGGCAATGGTATTGCCTCTCTCTCCTTTGCTAAGTAATATTTTTATGGGAGATTTTGAAAATAATACAATAAATAGTTTTTTTAAAAAATCTAAATGCGTTATGTTGATGATATTTTTGCAATATGGCAATATAACGTTTCTGAAATAGACATTTTTTGGATTATACAAATTCTCGCGAACCTACCATAAAATTTACTTTAATTAATTATTTTATTAAAATTAAATTATAATCGTTTGCCATTTCTTGATGTTTTAGTGTCAAAGTTTCAAAATAAACTAATTTTAGATGTTTACAGAAAACCCACAAATACAGACAGATACTTAAATGTCACATCTAATCACAGTATAAGTGTAAAAAAGGTGTTATAGAAAGGTTATATGATAGGGCAAAAATAATATGTTCAGACGACAATTCACTAACCAGAGATATAAACCACATAAAAAATACATTAATAAAAACGACTACATTCGTGAAACCCTTAAATGTACGAATTAACATAAAGATTATTTAAGAAAGGGAGATTTTCAAAAATATAAGATTTGTCAGCATTCCTGGGACACAGGGCGCAGAATCAATTTTAACAACGCCAAAATTATAATGTAAGAAGCGATAGCCTGGCTGTATGGCAATCGCTTCTTTGTTTTTAAAGTACATAACATAAATAAACATAACATACGTAAAAATTAAATATAATCATACAAAAAGGTTAAGGCTTTTTGGTTTTACCTTATTAAGTAATTGTTATCAGGTAGTAATTGTTAATTTTGAAGTTTAACATGACATGTCATTTTAACAGAGCGTCAACGGTTTTTCTAGACGTAACTGTTTAAAAAAACTGAAGTGTTCTCAAACAGTTGGATTTAAATATATTTTAAATAGTTTCTTTTTTTTTCTTTGTATTTTTTTGCTTCCGACGACGGAAAGAGATAAACTTTCCGAAACGTTAAGCATTTTTTTGTTCGTTAGGCAAATTTGTTTATCAGTAAACTTAACTGCTGACAAATAGTTACCTTTGGATTAACACAGCAGTGTTTAAAAAAAATAACTATTTTATTTTGTAAATTTTCTAGCAGTGGCGAAAATCCATATAGGATTTTTTTGAAGAGATGAATCGGCCACATATGTATAGACATTTTTTAAAACTTCTAGGTTGCGATCGTGTGGTTTCCTGTAATAACATTTTATAATATGATGGAAATATTTTATAATTAAGTGTGCAATGATAAACCATGTATACAATAATCAAGAACAGTCAAATTCAATCTTACTTGATCACAAAACTTTTTGATGTTATGTCACATCTAGGGAATGCAATCCCGCACCAAAATCTCAATCCCGCAAACCCGCGGGATTAAAGCAATCAATCCCGCCGATCCGCAAAATTGCGGGACTGTAAACAATAATCATACATTTGGTCCTAAATGGTACAAAAGGCATTGTACATTTTGCATAGGCCCACAATATATTGATATAGCGTGTATCTTAAACTAGCTGTACAGAAATTTGGACCGATGTATACAGAGTGTTCAAAAATATATTTAATATTAAATAAACTTAAATCTTATTATAATTTATCTACATATTTTATAAATAAAAATATTATTCTGATGTTGACGTTTTTTTTTAATTTTTGTTAGTTATCTGCTTTTAGATACACTCTATATCAATAATTTTTTGGCATATGCACAATGTACAAAGCTTTTTGTACCATTTAGTACCATGTATGTTTATGTATGTATGCTAAAAATGCATATTTTTCGAGAAAAAAAACGTCGTATTTTCCTTAAAACAAAAAAAAATAAAAAACCGATCAAATTATTTTTTCTAATTTCAATACAGATTAGTCGTACTTATTTCGATTTTTTAAATATTGCAAATTTGCGGTAAAAAAGATTCTTGGCCAAATTTGCACACTCTTATAAAACACCCTGTATACGAGAATTCACTAAATATATTTTCGAAAACTATATAGCATCTTTATCATAACAGATGTATCTAAAACCTGGTCCAAACCGCATCCCAAAGTCTTTTTTAGTTCCAGAGATATTCTACTTTAAATTTACCCTAAAATTTTGCTTGTTCCGATAATTATGTCCGGCAGTTTATTTGACGAAATTGTCCACAAGTACTAGTTAAACGCTTTTCTTCACTTACGCACATACGCCAGAAAGAAATCTAACAACTAACCTGTTTGTTTCACTTATTTTTAATGGCCAAGCTATAAGGGGAATCCCCCGGGTTCCGAGCGTCGACGCATCGATCTTGATTGAAATCGATTCGGTTACCCAGTAATAATGTGTCGATCCCGCAAATCCCGCACGGTAAATCCCGCAATTTTGTTCCCGCAGAATCTCAGAGGGATCCCGCATTTGCGGGATTGCATTCCCTAGTCACATCTACTTGCTATGAATATTACTAAGACAACAAGATGATGTGTTCTAATAAACCAAAAATGATAGAAATTTCTAAATGTACAGGGTGTCCCATTTTCGTGTGCTTGATATGGGGTGCAATTTAAAAAAAGCTTAAAACTTTAGCATATTTTTTTTTATGTGATAGGTACTCTATATTTATCAGTATAATAAAATGTCATGTCTTCGACAGCGACTACGATATTAGACTTCCTCGCACTAATGGGCTGCCCTGTATATGTTTAAAATAATGAGACTGTATAAACTGATAAATATTAAGTCTAAAAATATATCGAAAAAGTTGACATATCGAAGGCAATAGATCAAAATGTCTGAATTGTAATAATTTTAAATAAGTTAATATATTTATACAGGGTGTTTCAAAACAAATGCGAAAAACTTCTGTGATTCCTTGTTCAAAATAAAGGGTAGTGGGCTTCATAAACGAGCCCACTAGATTCTTTATCAGAAAATGTTTTTTGCCCTGACATGTAATGCTTTACATTTTATTTTTTAATTTCAAATCAGTGAGTTTTCTCAAAAAAACACAAGAGATAAAAAAGTTTCTAAACAAACTAAACTATCCAAATTAACTTTTTTGCATGTGTTTGATAAGATTTAGGGGTGTTTATTTCAACCCCTTCCACTCATTTTAAAAAAGTGAAAAAATTACCAGAAAGTGTGTTTTCATAACAGTAATGCTTCCATAAAATTTCATTAGTCTATCTCTTTTCGTTTTCAAGATAAAAAATAAAAACATTATTTTTCCACCATCTTTGTACCGCGATATCTCCCTAATGATTGACTTTTGACCCAACGTTTATAAAGCAAACTCCCCTTTATTTTGAACAAGGAATCACCCCCTGAAGTTATTCGCATTTGTTTTGAAACACCCTGTATATTCTTTTAACAAATAGAAATAGTGTGTTGGGCCTGAATTCCACCTTGCACTAAAAAACTATAAAAATATATTTAACATCGCAAAAAATCCCAACGGATCTCGATACAGTTCGCATATTAAATTCAGTAGCTAAACATACTGTTTCTAAAAAGCATGGCGTTTATAAGGTATGTATAAATAATAATAATGTTTTCTATATTTATATTTGGCTGTTTGTTTCAAATATATTGAATCTCGTGTGGATCTCTTTTGATTAAATTGTTGGTACTAATTTGTCGAGCAACAAAGTTATACTCTAGTAATGATGAGCAAATGCAAGACCAAGACAAAGACTCTCTTGGTCTTGGTCTCGCTGCAAGACTCTTGCAAGTCTTGCATTTTTTAATATATTTTTATTAGAGGCACTTTATGGATAAAACATTTTTGAATAAACATTATTTTTTTTAAACCAGTAAACCAAAAGTATTAACGAGGATGTACTTCAAGAAAATATTTTAATTTCTATAGGGTGGTTCAAAAAAGTCGTGTGAGTGGATCGGGATGATTTTTTTTTAAATGTAACACCCCGTATATTATTGCATTTTTCGTTTCCATTTTGATTTGAGTAAATATATTTCGATAGTTTTCGAGATATTAGTTTTCGAGATATTAGTAAATACATAAAAAATATATTTTTTTCAGCCATTCTTAAAAAAATTATTAATAATACAAAAACTGTCCTGAAATCAAAAAGAATGGGTTCAGAGTTTTTAGACGGTCTGTACAAACTTTTCTATAAATATCATAATCTTAAAACATACAGGATGTTCAAAATTCTACGCCAAACTTTCTAAAATATTAAATAATGTTTCTTCGGTTTTTTAAATGGAACAGTAACATTCATATTTAGTAAGAAAAAAAAATACAATTCTTGTTGCAAAAAAATAAAATATAGGAATCACGGAAATCTAACTTTCAGAAATTGACGTTCTGCTTGGTATAAGCAAAATATTTGTTCTTTGAACGACTAAAGTGTATAAAGCCGAATCGTTTTAGATTGGGCATTTAAATTATTCAAGATTTTCGGGAGCGCGGGATTTAATATCGGGATTTCTTGATCCCGGTTTGGAAACCTTAATTAAAACCAGTAAACCAAATTCAAATAATTCAACATTTTTGGGTTTATGTAATACTCGGTGGAAGAAACTTCTCAAAATTAGCTTATTTCAAGAAATTTGACTGCTACAAGAAAGATTTGATGTCTCAAAGAGTGTAACTCAAACCGAAGAGCGTTTGGAAGCAGAAAAACATTTAAAAAAATAAAATCTAAACGTTTAAATCAAAATTACTGCTATGCACAGTGGTTCCCCTTAATTAACTGCGCGGTCATAACTGTTAGATATCTAGATATAGCTTGACTGCACCTGTTTTAATAGAAATTGATAACAAATGCTAAATAAATGTATATAAAAAACTTAATGTAATATGTATTAAAAAAATTGGGCCCAGTTCGTGTGATTTGCATTTTAAGTTCTAACTATTCGGAAAGGTATACAGATACAGATTATGTTTGCACATATGTACATGTTTTTTCATATTGAAGAGGTCAAATTTATTTTAAATGTTGAAAAAATAAAAGAGACAGTTGTTTCATTTTATAAATACAATTTTACTGTCAATTGATATACAGTGTGTCCACGAAATAAATTGACACGAAGAGGAAAAAATAAGTTACTTTTATTTAAAGACAAAAAGTCAATCTTTAACCACCCGGTAAAAGATCCGGCGGCAATTCGCGGCAGCCAATGGCAATTAATTTATATGCAATATACTTTAAGCAACAAGTATTATCATGCCGTTTAAGAGGATTTGAAAGGGAAAGTAGTTAAAAGTCTTGAAGAGTGACAAGCAAAAATGTAAAAATACAATTTTTGTTGCCTTCAAATAAATTGCCATAAACTAATATTACGTAGGTTTAATTAAGTGCAAAAAAGGAAAAACAGTTCTTTTTACCTTCTTTTCGAACGTCCATTACAGAAAAGGCAACAGCTTTTATCAATTTTAATAAAATAAGTAATTAATTGGCGGTATCTGAAAACTGTTTGTCAGATTGATACCAGTAGCAAAAATGTGACATTTCTAATAAAAAAAGCGCTACACTAGGCTTACTTTATTTTGTTATTTATTATGTATCGTTTACAGGGGAACATAAGAAAAGTATTAGCAACAGTTTCATGCAAACATTTTGAAATTAATATTTCTAAGTAATGACCTATCTGGGAACCACTGTGCTATGCCCTTTTTAGAGAGGCATAGACTGAACTTTTAAGATTCTGATAAGCTATCATTAAATAAAGATAATACTGAAATTAACAAGGTATATTTCAATCTTCCTCTTAAAAAAATACTATAATTAATAAACTAACATTTTATATGAAACCAAAATCAAAAAATTCAATTTTTGTCATGTTCCTATATGCCTGGCATTAGAAAAATAAAATTTTCCCCACTAGAGTTAATTGAGACAACTGGGTACCGAGTACCAGGGCGAGGGCGGAACCACCCCCAGACGCGTACCTGATTGGTCCAGCCCTATCCCCATTGTTAATAATAAAGAGGTAGGGCGGGAGGGTTTCCTATAAATATCAATGTTTTGCAATTTTTGGTCAGTTTTCCGTGTAATTTCAAGTTTAGTGTGTTTCCTCTCGAATTCTCCAAACTTTGAACGATGAACATGCAGGGATTCAACGTTAGTTATAACAATTTTAATAACTTTGCAACTGTAAGTGTACTTTATTTTTCTATATTTTCTTATGTGCCATGTATATTTTAAATAAATTTATTTTATTATAAGTTAGATCTTAAATTCCGAATTTAAGTAGTAATCAAAAAATTGCTTTATCTAATTTGGTTTATTTTCTTGTACAAGATATTATATAAAATATTTCATGATATTTGTTCTTTATAATGTTAAAGTATACATGGCAGCAGATTTTTTTTATTTTTTGATATTTTTTATGTTATTGGATTAATTATTGTACTACTATAATATATATTATATATTCATATATTATATTAATATTCATATATTATATTAATATATTATATTAATATTAATATATTATAGTAGAATACTATTAATATATACTTTTAATATTTAAGTTAATATTCTAAACTTAATTTAACAGTTGTTTAAAATAATATACAGGGTAAGTCTTAAATAAGTGGAAATATTTTTAGAGCTGGTAGATCTCGATAAAAGAAACATGATATTATATCCTCTTTACCATTTTTCAAATAAGTCCAAAATAACCGATAGCTTACTGTGAAAACTAGAAAAAAATATATTTTTCGCTTAAATTTTGAGAACCACTGGATCTTTTCTGTTTTTTTTTTCTTGCAAATTTAATCTACTTCTATTTTTTCCATATTATCAAGAGATTATTTCTTTAACTAAAAACCTCATAATCGTGTTTCCGGGGTCGAAATATACTAGCCCTAAAAATATTTGCACTTATAAAAGGCTAGCGTTTTCTCGGGACTTCGTCCGCGTAAAATTCGAAGTTTCTTACATTTCTTTTATGATTAAAACTTACAAAGAAACAAGCATTTCAAATTTCATGTCATTTTACTCTAAACTTAAAAAACGACCTAACAGTTCATTTTAATCTGAGAAAACGTGGTCTAAGCAAGTATCTGTTGTTACAGAACCATTTTAACAAATGTTCGCCCCTAATTTCACCCTCGTAGGGATGAATTTCCAAAAATCACTTTTGAAAACTCACTCTCATCATACTGGGACATCCATGTAAAATTCCAGACTCCTAAGATCGATTTTAAAAAGCTTTTATAGTAAATTCAAAAAGTGTTCAATTACACTGCTTAATAAACCTCTGTGCAAAGTTTCATACTTTTAGAAGCTACTTTTTAACTATTTTTGTTCAAACTTTCGTTCCTAATTTTACCCTCTTAGGGGATGATTTTTTAAAAACAGTTTCTCAGTGCCCACTTTAGTCTGTATGCAGATGTTCATACTCCTAGGATTGATTAAAAAAAAATACATATATACAAATTTTCACCCCCTTAGAATTTTCGAAAATCGTTTCTTAGCGTTCGATCATTCCCTTGAAGGCACTTAGTTTTATACTTCTATTTTTTATTTTTTTTTCTTATATAAAATCTACCCCTGATTTCACCCCCTTAGGGGTTGAATTTCCGAAAATCCCTGTCATTATCAAGAAGTGGCGTAACTAATTTTTGGATATTTTTCGGGAGAGCGAGCGGTTTAAAGTTTCTTACTATTTGTGTCTTAATGCCAACTAAAATATATTGTAGTCGCTGTATTTCTTTAACAAAAAGAAACACCGTGGCTTCAGTATATTTTGGTTAGTATTGAAACAAATGTGGTAAAAATACTTTAAACTGCTCGGTTCTCCTGAAAAATATCACAGAATGAGTTAGGCTACTTAGTGATATCCACGACAATATGTACCAAATTTCGATTTCGGTGTTCAGCGTTTCATATATACAGGTTGAGTCTGAAATAAGGGCAAATATTTTTAGAAGTGGTATAGAGGGTGTCCCAAGCTGAGCGTGCATTAGAAAATTCTAGAGAACCACAATATCTAGATCGGAGATTTTTTGCACATCGTTGTTTTACAATGAGATCTAACAATTAAAAATATTTTCAATATGGCGGCACATCCGGCAATACCGGAAGCTGACAGCAACTTTCTTATTTTAAATGGGCGCCGCCATTTTTTATTACAAACTTAAATTCTCTGTAAAATGTTATGAATTTTGATGTTAAACACACTAACAATAACGGTTTTTGAGAGAAAAAAAATATTTAAAAATTTTTGGACGAAAAAACTACCTGTCAAAAAAAATTGTATAGCCCAAAAGGCAAATTTAGTGATTACCACAGCCACTGTACTGTGACACAAAGAGAAGACATGTAGCTAGCTATTTCAAAAATTAAATTGCTCAAATATCATATATTAATGGCGGCAGCTGTCATGGAATTGACCGATTTAAAAATTATCATGAATCATTTTTTTCAAATGGAAATACACTTTTTAATTTCATTAGTTTCATTAGTGAAATAAAAAAATGGGTTTCCATTTGAAAAAAAATGATTTTTGATAATTTTTCAATCGCTCAATTCCATGAAAGCTGCGGTCATTATTATATGACATTCGATCAATTTAATTTTTAAAATAGATAGCCACATGTTTTTTCTTTATGGCACAGTGGCTGTGGTAATCACTAAATTTGACGTTTAGGCTATACACATAAATATTTTTGACAGGCGGATTTTTTCGTCCAAAAATTTTTAAATATTTTTTTCTCAAAGACGATTAATGTTAGGTATAGAGTGTTTAATATCAAAATTCATAAAATTTTACAGAGAATTTAAGTATGTAATAAAAAAAGGGGGCACCCATTTAAAATAAGAAAGTTGCTGTCAACTTCCGGAATTTCCGAAAGTGTCGCCATATTGAAAATATTTTTAATCGATAGATCTCGTTGTGAAACTATGATATGCAAAAAATCTCCGATCTAGATATTGTAGTTCTCTAGAAATTTCTAATGCACGCTCAGCCTGGGACACCCTGTATTTCGATCCAGGAATACGTCTATGAAGGTTTTTTTCACAAAAAAAGTTGAAAATCATACATTTTCTTTTAGATTGTCTTATATATTTTAGAAAACATTTTAGAATTGCCGCAAATTTTTAACGGTATAATTTCTTAATCTCTAATATTGTTACGGCACTAAAGAATATGCAAATACAGAAACAAAATCAGTCGGCTCTTCACGTTCTCGTCCTAAGTTTCTCACAAATTGTTGGAATAAACTGGGTTATTTTGAACTTACGTATTTTGTCCATCCATATGTTTCCCTTTTATTCCAGAGGATCTTTGCAGAGCCCTAAATTCAAAATATTTGGACATATTTAAGAGACCTCTCACCCTTTGTAGGTGATTACAAAAAATTTATCTGCTCAAAAAAAAATATCTCCGATTGGAAATACTTGTTTGGTTTTACTCTTCTAAACCTTCATTGTCTTTCTCCTATTACCAATTCAACTCATCAAATAACTTTTTTTAAATAAATGTTTATTTTTTGACATGTATTTTTGAACAACATATTATTCACATAAATTTTCTTTAGTAAAATCCACTAGGTGCACCAATTTTTCTATAGTAACTATACTGCTAAAAATCTACAAAATAAAAACACTAATTTAAAACAATACACCAGAACGCTTTACTTTTCCACTCGACACGCGTTTTGCTAACCACGTTGGCATCATCAGTAGATTATTAAAACTCCTAATCACCTGAAATCAGTTTTAATCATTTGCTGATGATGCCAACGTGGTTAGCGAAACGCGCGTCCAGTGCAAAACTAAAGTGTTGACGTTGTAACACCAAAAGTTCCAAACCCAAATAATAATACTAATAACCTACATACTAAAGCATTGTTTTGCTACTTTTGAAGGTACCTATTTTCATAAATAATAATCCGTGATATGTATTTGCAGGTTAGGAGACCATCATCGTGTCGGTACCATCCGTATAATGGTTCCTATCAATCCTATCAACAGCCTGGTGTGTGCAGTTCCTATCGAACCATGCCCCCCATAATGCAACATCCTCCTCAAGTAAGTACCAATTTAAATACTACAAAATTTTGTACTTATTTGTTAAAACAAAATATTTCAGAAATTGCAATATATCACAATACCACGAAATTTTACTTTTAAAATTTTATTTACTTTTATTAATTCTATTGTCAATATAAAAATAGCCGATTAAAAACAAATATAAAAAAAAAAAAAATAGTATTTTATAAAAGTATTTCCAAAATTATACAATTTATATAGATATCTACACAACGTAAGACAATCTTATTACACAAAAAATCGTATTTTTTAAATTAATAATTATATTGTTTTGTAATAACATTTTTTTAAAAATATTATTCAAAACTTAGAAATTAGAATAAAATAAAAAAAATATTTAAAAATAGAAAAAAAAAAAAAAAAAAAATATGAAAAAATGGTTTATGACTATTGGTACTTTTTCGAAGGCAAGAACTCATATGTAGATATTTTATTTAATTTAGAATTTCATTAAAACAAATATATTTTTTACAGTCGTACCCAGTACCCAGTACCCAGACTCCTTCTAGCTACTATGGCCCTTCAGGGTCAACTACCAACCTGGCCCCCAGAACATACGCGCAGCAAACTCTTCCTCCACTGGTAAGTTAATATTTTGAATCATGAATGTGTACAACTTTTAATTTTCCAAAAATATCAGTGTAAATAATTTTATCTTCAACCGTTTAGTTATATAACGTTTTTACATCACTATTTTTTTAGTATTTCAATTACGTTATGAGATTCGTAACACAACTAGTGGTGTTATGAATCTATAACAGAACTAGTTGCTATAATAATGAAAAAGTGCTCGCGTTTACTTGACAGGGCAAACTGACTTTTCAGCATAAATGTGACAAATGTCATAGTTAAAGGTGTTAAAGGTGGGCGACTAATAAACGAAATTTAAAACAGCATTTTCTTATTTTTCGGTTGTTGATAAAACGTTGTACATGACACGTGCGTTTAAACATGATTACAACACTCGTGTGATTAGAACGACTCGGTCTACGACCTCGTCGTTCTAATCTACTAACTTCAGATACTCGTTGTAATCATGTTCATAAACACACTTGTGCTGTAAATAACTATTTCATTTTTTTTTTTAGAAAAAAATATAATCGTAGAAGAAAACAAATATATACAGACGGAAAAATTCACCTAATTTAATTTGTAGTATTATTTTTATATTTACTTATTTTTCTTTTACAGAACTGCCAACTGCCTGTGTTTGCTCCCCCTGACCATCCCACCCCAGCCTGCGTTCCACCTCCGGCCCCTGTAAGTCCTTACTTCACATTCTTTAGTTTTGAACAAAATTTTGAAAAATTTAGCTTCATTATAGTATTTTTTTAAATTTAATAATTTTTCTTTATAAAAACTGCCAATGCCGCTCGCTCACTCTCTCCTGACACTCCACCCTAGCCTGCGTCCACCTCCCGCGCCCCTGTAGTCCTTACTTCACACTCTTTAGTTTTGAACAAAATTTTGAAAAATTTAGTTCATATAGTATTTTTTTTAAAATTTACTAATTTTTCTTTTACAGAACTGCCAACTGCCTATGTATGCTCCCCTTGACTATCCCACCCCAGCCTGCGTTCCACCTCCGGCCCCTGTAAGTCCTTACTTCACACTCTTTAGTTTTGAACAAAATTTTGAAAAATTTAGTTCAGATAGTATTTTTTTTAAAATCTACTAATTTTTCTTTTACAGAACTGCCAACTGCCTGTGTTTGCTCCCCTTGACTATCCCACCCCAGCCTGCGTTCCACCTCCGGCCCCTGTAAGTCCTTACTTCACACTCTTTAGTTTTGAACAAAATTTTGAGAAATTTAGTTCATATATAGTGTTATTTTTATATTTACATTTATTTTAATTTTACAGATCAAGGTCAACTTCCGCACCTACCATCGACCGTACCTGCCTATTCGAGTACCGCTCCGGTTAGTTGTAAGTATACAGCTCTTTATTTTTCAAAACATTCAAATAATTCAAATTATGTGAACTCTGCTGATAACATTATTATTTATAATATTAATATTATTTTTTTTTTTTTTTTTTTTTATTATTTTTAAATCTAGAAATATTCATCAAATGTCATTTTGGATATTAATTTATTGATTTAGACTTTTGATAGATCAAATTTAAACTTCAAAAACATTATTTTACAGCCTTTATAAAATTTTTCCCCTCGTGGGCATTATTTCTAAGTTCTTATGTTGATTAATACCAAAAATTAAGATTTTATAATACCCATTTTGTTACAGGTCTTAGAGGAGTTACCAGGTCTGGCCCCGGAGGAGGTGGAGATGATCTTTCGAGTATGGGATGAAGCTGATGCTAGAGAGCCACCAATACCAGCAACGGGCTCTGCCCAGTCTGGTACAATGCCGGGAGTGGTAGTCAATTTTTATATTGTCTTATTTTTTAAACCCTAGCAGGCTCAAATTTTCACCATATAAAAATGTAATACAAAAATTAAGATTATGTAAGTAAGTACCCATTTATGGTTTACAGGTCTCAGAGGAGTTACCAGTTCTGGACCCGGAGGAGGTGGAGATGCTCTTTCGAGTATGGGATGAAGCTGATGCTAGAGAGCCACCAATACCAGCAACGGACTCTGCCCAGTCTGGTACAATGCCGGAGTGGTAATAATTTATTTCTTTGTTTTTTTTTTTTTATTTGAAATTTTCAATATAAAACGAACTTTTCAATTGCCATACCAAGTGTACAGGACGGGCCAAATTGGACACGTTTAAAGCGAAACACCTTTTTCAGACATGGAGGTAGATGAAAAATATTCTGCGTGTTTGGAGCTCAATTTTGATCAAAAACATGATAGTAAAAACCGCATATCGATATCTCTTAACGTTTCGGAGTTACGGGGTGTTTTTCAAGCAACGCATTTTTAACAAATCGCTGGTAAATGTAATTTTTAGCTCTTTTCAACAAATTAAAAATATATAGGACGTCCCAAATAAAAAAATTAAATTTTCCGTTGATAACTCTTAAATTATTGATTTAAAGGAAAATTATACTCAAATCATTAAATTCTACGTAAAAAATAGGTACTTTGGAAATGTTTTCATAAAATTACAAAATTTTCCATAGCAAAAAAGTTACAGCGATTTATTGTTTATTTTAATTTTTTCAATAAATTATTTTTTCTTTTAATGAATCAACACAATATTAAGTATGTTATTTTTTTGGAAGGTAAATTTAAATTATTTTCATAAAAAATTAAAAATATCAGGTGTCCATGTAAACAAAAATCAAAATTTAAAAAAAAAAAATCTGTAAAATATTAATTTTTTAGAAAAAATTATACTTTAAAACCATTTAGATTCTACGTAAAAAGGAGATTTGGAAATGTTTTCATAAACATACAAAATTTTCCATAAAAAAAAAAAAAAAAAAAAAATGTTAAGAAAAATGCATTTTGAACATAACACCCCGTAACTCCGAAAACGGCGAGCTTTGAGCTCCAGACACCGCAATATTAGTTTTTGTCTATCTCCTATAGAAAAGGGTGTTGGGTGTTTCCATTTAAAGCCGTCGAATTTGACCCACCCTGTACATTTTTAAAATAAATAAAAAAAAAAAGAAACATTTTTTTTTTTTTTTTTAATTTTTTTCAATATTGGATCATTGTCCACCACATTGAATGAAACACATTTATGTCTAGACGGGGGTATTGTATTAATGCCAAACTTTACAATTTCTTATAGAGTAAACATTGTCTAATTCAAATTAATCCTCTACTGTTAACATATCATAAACATTAAACATCTTTTTGCCTAAACTACCCTTATAATTTCCCTCTTCATAATTAATTTTTATTTTTTTTTTTTTTTTTTTTTTTTTTTTTTTTATAATAATAGCTTTAACTTTACTCGGTTATAATTCTTATTGGTACCTATATGTGTTTGGCCTTTTTTCTAAAAAAGGTATCCCAAAAGGAAATTGAAAGTTAGAGTGAAATTCTCAATTGTGAATACTGTCTCGATTATGTTCTTACCTTAATGTATATATGTTTTTCCCTTTTCTTAATTAATTTTTTTTTAGACTAATAAAACTTGAACTTTCCGGTATGAATTTGTATACCTTGGGCTTGTTTATAATTCTTTATTGTTACCGTGTACGTTTTAGAAGTGGTCTAGGCCCCAGCAGGCACACTAATTAAGGCTTGACGATCAGTTTGGTAGCCGTGGTTTTGCTGGAGGTGATAATTGTATTTGTGTATTTTAAAAACTCTAACGTGATTCGTTGGGCTTAATAGTTGCCTTGTTGGGGCTAGACACAAGTACGCTTTTGACCTGTTTGCTATAAAACGGTATCCTAAAAGGAATTAAAGTTAGGGTGAAATCTCATTGTGTAATGCTGCATTGTGTGCTGCTGGCTCTTAAAATGCACTAATTTTAGGCATTTTAGAAAATACATTTTTTGCCAAAATCTGTCCCATGCACAATATTAAGTGTGTTAAAATTAGTTCCAATTTTTATTTCTCTATTTATATGCTCTAATTAGTTAAGTTTTGTACTATCAAAAATAATGGCCGTGGGGGCGGCTGAGGAAGGCCGTGCGATGTTAATTTTGACTAGGTCAAGCTCTAGGCGACACTACCAGATCCGTATACTTCTTTTTGTTATAATAGCGCCGGCCGCCGATTACTCAAGTTGGCTTTAAGAAGGTTAATTTATTTTTATTTCAACTAAAAGTGATTTTCAAGATGGTTTATTTATGGATTTTTTTAGTAAATGCCGTCTAGAGATTGATCTCGCCAAAAATATCACCGATTGTAACTCCCCAGCCGTTTTTGACGCCGTTTTTTTTTTTCTCGATCGAACATTATCTTTTCTAAAAAGACAGGGTGCTCAAATTGCACAAATTCGAGGTACGAGGTTGCTTGGTAACCGTAATAGATACGAACATAGTTAAATTGGGGAAAAGTTCCGGCATGGGATGTTCACCAAGATGCCATCAAGAAAGTTTTAAAAATTTCAAGGATTGCTGAGTTTTCTGGGAAAAAGACGGATTTTTTTGAAAATAAATTTAATTTTTTCCTGACGTTACGGTTTAGAAAATTAACAAACTAATTAATAACTAATCTGATAGTGTTTTTTGATTTTCAAATTAGCTGATAATTTGTGAGATACAGGGGCCAACTTAATTTTTTTAAACACGGTCCTGCATTTTTTATTTCAGGTTTAGAAAGAACTCAGTCTCCTGAGTACAATGATGTGTATGTAAAATGTCGTCTAGAGATTGATCTCGCCAAAAATATAATCGATTCCCCAGCCGACTTTGACGCCGTTTTTTTTTCGGTCGAACATATTTTTTTTGTATATACAGTAATTTAGTTAGTTCTAATAGAGTATCATACACAAAATGTTTTGATTTCATGTAGAATGTCAAGAAAGCATTTCGGTTACAGTGTGTACAGTGTGTCCCAGGCTGAGCGTATATTTGAAGTTTCTAAAGAACTATAATAGCTAGATCCGAGATTTTTTGAACATTATTGTTTCACAACAAAATCTATCGATTTAAAATATTTTCAATATGGCGGCACTTCCAAAAATACAGCAGTTTGACAGCGCAATTTTATTATTTTAAATGGGTACCCCAATATTTTATTACATATTGAAATTCTCTATAAAATTTTATGAATTTTGATATCAAACACTCTAAATCTAACGTTAACTGTTTTTGAGAAAACATAATTTAAAATATTTGGGGAAAATAAACTGCATGTCAAAAAAATTTGTATTGCCTAAACGTCAAATATAGTGATTACCACAGCCACTGTGACATAAAGAGAAGACATGTGGGTATTTATTTCAAAAATTAAATTGTTCGAATGTCATATAATATTGGCCGTAGCTGTCATAGAATTGGGAAATTAAAAAATTATCACAAATTATTTTTTCAATTGGAAACCTCATTTTTTTATTTCGCCAGTAAAAAAGTTTTTCAAATTCGTTGCTTTTTACATGTAATAAGATTTAGGTTTAAAGCGTAAATTTTTCTTGATTTTTTTTCTAGCTTCTTTTGACATTAAGTGTCAGATAATTTATTTCCTTCTGTCAAAAAACACTAATTATTTGAATTTCGTATATTATAAATAATGCTGCTAAAAATTTATAAAGTGTATTTACAAAAATATATTTCGTGTTTTAGTGATATCTAATAGTAGATATTATGAATAATATGAACACCATATGATCAAAAAAACGGCGCAAAGTTGGCTTGAAAATGACAATCAATGAAATACTGATTTTTTAA